AAACCTGCCCTAAGTTCCTTTACAACAATAAGCCTGAAGCTTACTAAGTTGAAATAAAATAATAATACAAGGTCAAGAAACATAGCAAGCAATATTACTATTGTGGTTTGTTAACATAATGCTAGAAATATATAGTTACAGTAAAACTAAATAAATTAGGTAAGATCAACAACAAAAATTAGGTTAGTTTTATAACAGCATTAGAGTCAATGGTTTAATTTCTTTAATGAGTGGTAACCAGCAAGTATGAAGAGGGAATCCATGATTTTGGTTAATGCCTGTAGGCGGACCACAATTATGGGCTACTATTGCAATGGCTTCATTACTTTTCTCTTCTTGGCAATTATTTGTATATTATTGAGGTTAACGTTGTGGTTTTCCTCTCTAGCGTTTAATGCAATGGCTGAAGTGTCTACAGAAGCATGTGCGATATCTCTTTGATGTTCTTTCATCCTAATGTTAATGGGACATTTCGTATCTCCGATGTATTCTTTTTTACATTCACATGATACATTGTAGACAATGTGGAAGTCGGTTGTTGCGACTTAACCTTAGTTAAGATATTGCGTAGGTTAGTGGGGCTCTTCAACACAGTTTGAATGTAAAAGGTATTCATTGTCTTTTTATTTTTTCTCCGAGTCCTGGAAAGTTGGGTATCACCATATATATACATACCTGTTCACTGTGGCCTTGAATTTTCGACAGACTACGCGAGCGGCGCTGTAAGGTAACAATACTCACTTAAACAACGAGAAAAATACCGAAGATTTGAGTAACTTGGCGTCGACAATACTACAACAATTGAACCACACACACACAACGTACGACTCTTACCGAGTTACGCAACCAAACTTGTCATAACTATCGCCTTTAAAATGTTTAACTTTTAAAACCCTTGTTGTGAAAACTAAACAATCATTAAATATTAACTCACAAAATAAATTAAATAACAACACCTACACTAAACAGTCTTGTATATCCAACAACATTGTTTCAGTACAAGGTGTAGTTAAGTGTACTAGATATGATGGAAAGCAACAACCACTTGGTAAAACTTTGAAACTGCACCTAACTAGCGCTGGACTTTTATCAAGAATAAAGTCACGGGGATTGGTGGACGAAAACTTTGTCAAAGCTTCCAGTGTTTTTAATCAAGCTGTCATGAAAGAAACTACCTATGACAATGACCACTATGCTCCAGATTACATATTTGGTTAGGAACGGAATTTGGCCACCCACCCAAAGACTCTTGGAGCCGACCCGAAGTTCAGTCTAATAGAACCCATGGATGAAGATGCATTCTGGCTGATATGTTGGATATAAGGAATTTGGCCAAATTGGTTGTGGGGGGGGGGGGGTTGAAGTTTCCTGAGGTCCGGTTACCCTAGTTAGTTGTCATAGCCTTTGCAAGATAATATGACCATAGTGACCTGAGAGAAACTGCTACAGTTAATCAAAACCCTGTTGGTCAAGCTGATTTTGGAAGTGGCCAAGTCACAGCTGCCAATAGTACCAGCTCTTGCTATGAAGGAATTCAGGTGGATGTCTCAACATCAGGAGTCTATCCCAAGGTGTACTACTGGAAGATGTTTGATTACCACGTAGCAAATATATGAGATGTGCATTCACCTCCAATGCAAACATAATATTCTATAACTCCAGATCTTCTTCCTGGAGTTGAAGTCACCTCCAAGGGTGGCATAACGCAAGAAGGCAGGAAGGAGACGCCCATCAAGGCTCGACCCCAGTGACCCTTACCACTGTGGGAAAGACAACCATTTCCAGGAGCCAGCTGGGTGTCAAGGCCTTGCCACCTGTGACACCAACATCACCGTGAGGACCTTCAGGGTTAGTAAAGGGGTTTAGAAATCAATAACCAGAAAATTACTAATCAAAGCTCCACAGACCAAAGTCAAAACAAAGCATAAAATCTCCACACCATTATTGGTAAAGCAACCATGACAAGTTTTAAATATATGTACAAGTGATTATTTTACAGTAGGTGCATGTGATTTGTTGGTGATAAATTCGAACAATAAACGGACAGCACACAATTCACTTGTTTTAAAATAATATATTTAAAGCAAAGCAAAGGTATGTACAAAAATTCTTTACACTATAACCTATAGGATATCACAGTTGTATCTAACACTCTAAGTTATTCTCTTTTCTTGTCAAAAGTCCACACAGGCTAGTTCAGTTACTTTAGAATCCAATTGACAAGACGAATTATTTTTCTCTACTCTATTTTTTACTATACAATCTGCGATAAATTCACTTACGTTACCCCGTGGGTTACCACAGTTGTATTCAGAACATTAAATAATTGTCCTCTTTTGATCAAAGTCCACACAGATGGGTTCAGTTTCTTTAGAACACCTTTTGACAAGGCAAATTATTCTCCTCATCTCTATTAAACTGTGAAACTCACTTTAAAATATCGCTCGTTACGGCTACTAACTTCAACATGGTATCATGTATTTGATGTCAGAGTTAACAACTATTCATTTTGCTTTACATTGCTGATTTAGTGACAGTTCATAGAGAGTAAATACCAGATACAATAGATAGATGTATTGAAAAACTGTATGTATGCATTTCATAGGTTCTAGAGGTTATGCAAAGAAATATGGAAACTGTACAATGGACAGAAGTATTTTTATTCTCACACGAACAACAACTTGCACTACCTCTAGTCAGAATCAATGGCATGGTAGCTAGACTGGGGTCTTGTGGAAAACTATTCATGGCGGCCCTCTCCGTTTAACATAATTTGATAATATCTATTCACATGCATGTTAAAAACCTGAAGTGATAGCTGTTTACGCGTGTGTTGTTATTTGTACGGATACATGTAATAACGTAAATGAAAAGAAAGAAATAGTATATGTGTACAGCACATGGTGTCTTATCGTAGTATGTTATAAAATACAATGAAAGAATATTCAGGAGAACAGAATATAGTCAAATAAAAACGAAATTTAAACAAATAGTAAACGTGACAACTCTGTCAAAGACATGGCAACTTTATTAACCACCATGGGCGTGTTTTGATAATCTTCAGCTTTGAAAAAAAAAACCGCTTACAACATACTGTAAATGCTGTTGATGTCAATATATATTTGTAAGCGAGAAAAAAAAAGATATTTATAGGCTAGGGAACAAAAATTGTATTTTCTGAGAAACAAAAATATACACCTGAAACACGCCTTGCAAAGATTTTCATTAGTGCATTTCACACCCCCATATTCATCACTGTCTTCGGATTCCGACTCTAAGTAACCATTTTCACTTGTTAGGCAGTCTGAATCGCACAAAGCATTCAGATAGCCATTCTGAATTTCGACCAGACAGAGGTAAAGCTTCTAAGTTCCTTATGGAGATCCAGCAGACTGACTTCTGGCAAAATTAGAAATATTCTGTTGAAAGCAATGCTAGTAGTTCCTTCAATCTCATTAAGGTGTCTGTGGTCAAAGCAATGCTAGCTTGAACAATGTTTCTCAGTGGCATGTGCATAGATTACCTGTCACTTTGTCCAAAATGGGATTGTAAACATTTAATTCATAAATCTTAATTAGGTTCTCTATGTTTCTCTTCTGGAATCCATCATTCACATAGATCTTGTCACCAAAACATTGATTGGCATTCTTTATAAACACATGTGCACGAGCAATAACTCTTTAAATCACTAATAATCTTGTCTATCGAATCCTGACAATGATCTATCAAATAAACCACCGGAGATAGATCAAGCTAAGAGAGTAATTTCAAATATTCTAAAGAAAGTAAAGGCAACAACAAGCATTTCAAAAAGAGAGAAATAATCCAGCAGATCTTTTGCCTTGGTTCTGGTGGTTGACTTAAACTCGTCTGAAGCATGAATCTCGTGGAGTGCTGAAATTATATAAACGTACAGTCTATTTGCAGATATGTCCTGGTACTAAACAACTATAGTTATTACATATCTAACATGGCTTCCTATCTCATTGTTCCTGGCATGCTGATTCTTTTGAACTCGTCCATTCCAAAGTCCCCTTTTCTCAGTTACGACTATGTCAACATTCGTAGAAGATACGCAAAAACAACAACAATAAAGAAACAGCTGTATCTTGGAGAATGGAAAAACTGTGAAAGCAGAGACAACAACTGAAATACAGTCAACCAGAACGAGGGTTAGTGTGCATTTTAAGTCGTCTCACTCAGGGGGAAAAAAGCAAATACTGACTCCCGTATTGTTGATGTTGTGCCATTAATGTATCGAAACACAATTGTGCAATGTTTTTTTCACTGAAACATTTTGCATTGAGTCACACTGTTTTGAGAAAATAACAGCTTCTTTATCCTTGTTTATAATCTTCTGCTTTATATGCCGAAAAAAATAAAGACAGAGTTGCTTAATAAAGTTACTAAAGAACCTCATCATGCAGCGTCTTCTATTGAGAGCAACTTAATCAGCTCTAAGAAATGTTCTTGGTTGCGGTTTTCACCTAGCATATACACTGCTTCATTACAATGACCACTTAACTCCAAACCTTGATAAGTAAGGTTCAAAATTGCATCACTAATTCGCCGAATAACTTGACGACGTTCACCGACTCCACATTTTCTCGTATTGAATATGTTCGGGTTCATCAAGATCAAGGCATCAACTGCTCTATTCGGTGATGAATATGCCAGGCAATCAAGAGTATCGCTTTCATGTTCAATCATTTGTTGGTTAATATATAACCAGTCAGAGCATCCAGTGACGAATCACTTGTCATGTTGATTAGATCAGTCAAAGTAGACGGACTTAAAACTTATTAGGTGACAATTGAACATGATAATTTTATACATTGATAAATATTGTGCTATTACATTTGAAATTTATCAACAAATTTTTTTTTAAAATGAAAATTATATATTAACTATAAATACCAATTCAATGAAGATAACAGTAAGTTATGCTTAACAATTTAATTAAAAAAACTTAGGTGCGTAAACTAGCTCGGTTTGAATTCACAGAGGGCGTTGAATTCACCTAACGATCAGGTGAACGAGATCATGAAATGAAAATTTTCTTGGGAGAGATAAATTAATATTGGTTGTGGTCGTTCTTTGTATTCGCTATTACGTTACCAATTTTACTATTTGTTGTATTTTATATTAATATAACTTAATGATGGAAGCTCTTATTCCAGTTATTAATAAGCTTCAAGATGTTTTTAATACCATAGGAGCTGATGCCATACAGTTACCTCAAATTGTTGTTGTAGGTTCACAGGTAAGCCTACTCTTTGTTGCTATTATTATGTATTGGACATTTTGGTGTTTGTTTTTTTCTTGGACAGTATTATCACTTAATTCTAGTGATTTCATGAATTAACATATAATTTGTACATATGTAAATATTGGGTTCCCAAACATGGAACATCATAAAAATTAATTGGGGAAATGAAGGGAATTGGTAAGGGAGAGCCTGGAATTTGAAATTATTTTTTTATGGTAATTGAAGCGGATGAAACATGGGAAAACTATATGGAAATTGTAAGTGAAACACAGAAACACATAAAAGAAGAAAGCATCAGAAGATATTATTCATATAACTTTGGTGTAATTATAAATTTAGAATTATAAGTAAGTTCATTATATTTGTAACATTAACAATCTAAATATTATGTGGAGTACTACTTAGGATATAGCAGCTTAATGCTGAACAGGGGTATGCGACCCTGTAACTTAAAAGAAAATAAAAAATTTTAACCAACAAAGTACATTTATGACCTAAAAAGTTTGGTCTGGAAAATTTGTGAAATAATGGCAGAAAATTTGGATTATGTTCTCAGGGACAGGCATGAAAGGTCAGAGAAACAAATGTATAGGTTTGTGTAGTAATTCTTTATACAATAGCTTTTATCTTGCCTTTTATGGTGTTTATGCCAGTTATGTTGGTGAAGCAAAAAAATAGTCTAGTTTTCCAAAATGATCACACACTGAATATTAACTATGTCTTTTAGGGTATATTGTTTTTGGGCCTTTAATTTTAAGAATTTTTGATGGAGGGAAAAACATTTCTTGATCACTTTAAAAGTACAAGTATCCAAAACCCAGTCTGTCACTGAACTCCACAAAATATCAGATAAATAAAGTGCTAGGCCTAATTTTTTTAGAAATGCATTAGATCCTCTTTAACTTAGCCAGAGCTTCCTGTTAGCAACTTTTTGACAGCCATGAAATATTTCCATCATATCTGGTTTAGATGATTCCTAGATCATTAAACAATACTTCTAATATAACAACTAGGCTTAGGTTAAGATAGCGCTATTAACCTATTTTAATTCTCTTATCATTATTCATCCTTAGTTAATCTATAAAATGAAATCTCTTTTATAAAGTACTGGCGGAATTAAAATTTAAATGCAGCACACTGTACACGTGATTTCATTCATGGCTAAAAGCTGTCATTCATAGTTTTCCAAAGCAACCTTATTTAGGTGGTAGTTGTAGGAGAATCTTGGTTATTCTGTTCAGCTACTACTCCCCCATGTATAACAACTTCATTTTAATTTTTACTCTGAAGAAATTCTGTTCTGGAATGAGGGAGACAGTGACATATATATACACAGAGAAACAATAGTGTCATGTTTTTCAGAGCTTACTTAAAAGAAATCATCAACATTATCCAAAAGAAATGTCTAAAAATACTAAAGTGTGATACATACCATGACTGTGTGTAAGTAGTATATGACATATGGTCATTAATTTGCAAGACATATTTTATAAAATAAGGGTATCAGAAAAATGCTAAAGTTTTGGTAAACTTAACAGTTTACCTTTCTAAGTTATGAGAAAAAGAAAATACAGTAGCTTTACAACCAAGTACCACACACACATACAGGTATATATGTATGTATGTGTGTACATTATACCAGACAGCTGTGCTTTAATCTTGCCAATGTTTCTTATAGAGCTCTGGTAAGAGTTCTGTATTAGAAAGCCTCGTTGGCCGGGACTTTCTTCCTAGAGGAGCTGGGATAGTTACCAGGCGGCCACTTATTCTACAACTTGTTCATGTTCCCCAAAATGACACAGCATTCAGATGTGCAGAAGAAGGTAAATGAATCTTTGTGCTTATTTTACAGTATTCTAAAAATCATATGCCACCTTGTTTTTCAATTTCTCAGGATACTGTAACAGATCAGTATTTTATAGAAATACATTGTAATTTCAATAACACATCTCACTTCTTCCACTTCAAATGGTATAGTAACCAGTTGTACCTATTGGTACAAAAGTAAGAGATGTAAACTAATCAGATTTCAAGTTTCAGGTGTATTTGTGAATTCATTTATATGACCAGTTTTTTATGCTTATATTTTTTATATGATCATAGTATTGTTCAGGTGATAATACTTAATGCCGTATAACAAAGATTATGTTTTGGTCAAGTGATAATAGTTAATGCTGTATACCAAAGATTATGTTTTGGTCAAGTGATAATAGTTAATGCTGTATACCAAAGATAGTTTTGGTCAAGTGATAATAGTTAATGCTGTATATCAAAGATTATGTTTTGGTCAAGTGATAATAGTTAATGCTGTATACCAAAGATAGTTTTGGTCAAGTGATAATAGTTAATGCCATTTACCAAAGATTATGTTTTGGTCAAGTGATAATAGTTAATGCTGTATACCAAAGATTGTTTTTTAATATTTTAT